TCTCTCTCTCTCTCTCTCTCTCTCTCTCTCTCTCTCTCTCTCTCTGTGTGTGTGTGTGTGTGTGTGAGTGTGTGAATGCTGGGGATCAAACTCAGGTCTTCATGCTTATGTCAGAAGCACTTTAACTACCTGACATGTTTCCTCAACTTTGCATTCATTTCTTTTTTCCTTTATTTTTGTGTATGGGTGTTTTGCCTTAATGTTTGTCATGTACTATATATGCGCAATGACTGTTGAGGCCAAAACCAGGCAGTGGATCCTTTGGAACTTGAGTTAGAGGCGGTCGTGAGCCTTCCTGTGAGTGTTGGGGATTAAACCGAGAGTCTCTGGAAGGGCAGTCAGTACTTTTTAGTGCTGAGTCATTTCTCTGTCCCTTGCATCACATTTTTTAACAATAAAGTGTTTAAATTTGCATAGCATAAGCAGTAGATATTATCAAAATATTGTATGGTCTTTTTTTTTTTAATAAAACTTTAGAATGAAGTTTAGACCTATAAAATAGAGTTGCCCTTTAGGACTTATGACTTATTTTTCCTCAAGATACGTTCTTTTCCCTATCATCTCTGTTATAACCAGGACATACATTTTATAAATGTGTACTCATCATGATTTTGGTGTATATGTGCTCACCTATGTTCTCTTGTTGAAGCCTGAAGCTTATGTTGTATCTTTACCTCTTTCGTTCCCTGTGTGGTTTTTCATCAGGTTCTTGTTGAACCCCAAGCTCAGTGTTTAGGCTGGATTGTTTGGCCATCCAGCCCCTGAGTCTGTGTGTGTTCTTCTTCCCAGTGCTAGGCTACAAGTTTGTGCCAGCATACCCAGCCTTTTATGGCAGTGCTGGGGAAAACTCAGATCCTTATGCTTATTCAGCAAGCATTTTAATATCTGAAGCCATTGCTTTAGCTGTTCTGTATTGTATATATCATATATACAATGGTGTAATATAGTATATTTCACCAAATGATTTCTCAGTTAACATTTAAATAGGTGACTTTTCAGGAACAAATACTTTGAATTTTATAGTCATTTCCTCTTTTTTTCTATTAAAATACGTTTTAACTCTTTGGGTCAGTATTGTAAACCATTGCCTGAATTCCTTTACTTATCACTGTTTGCTAAATTGGCTCTCTATTTCAGTGCTTCTCAACCTGTGAGTTGCAACCCTTTCACAGGGTTTGCCTAAGACTGTCAGAAACACAGATGTTTACATTACGATTCACAGCGGTAGCAAGATTAGTTATGAAATAGCACAAAGATAGTGTTATGGTTATGGGGGAGTTCCCCACAGCATGAGGAACTGTATTAAAGGGTTGCAGCGTTAGGAAGGCTGAGGGCCCCTGGTTTCTTCTCCTGTCTAATCCGCACTGCACTGCAGCTACATTTTTCATGGATCACTAACCCCCGCCTTTAATGACAAACTCTGAGCCTTCATTGCAGACGCAGTAGTTCTCAAAATAGTTGTCATTCATTCAGCAAGTACTTTCTGAGTATCTACTACTAATAATGCTCATCATATATAGTAACACTGTTGCATAAAGTTATGCCTGTCCTTGTCTTAAGGAGTTTATGAGCTAGTGGGGACAGAAGTATAGTGAGTATAGTAAGTGCCATTTAAATAGGCTCAGAATGTAACTAGGTATTGGGGGAGGACCCCTCTGCTAGGTGAAAGTCAAGGAGTGTGAACGTGCACACTTAATGACTTTGAGGTTCATGGTAAGTACATCCCACTCTGAGGAATAACCTGTGTGTATTCACCATATTTTAAACTGCCAACTCAGAAACCTGCCCCATTGTTGCTCCTTACCTTCATCTTTTTACCTTCTTTTTCTTTGAGCTACATTTTGCGTGCATCACCCCTGCCTTCAGTGACAAAGTCTGAACCTTATCAGTCTTTTCTCTTGCTGTTTATATAACTACGCTTCATCTTGTTACCTTTATGGGAATGATGTCTTTTTAAATCTCCTCGAGGCTTCCTGTTTGCTGTTTCTGTTACTGTGCTTTCAGAATCTACTGTGGCTTAGTTGTTATGTGTTTCTCTTGGTAGACTCTTGAGGTCCATTTTTTTCATTTGCCCCCTAGTTACTGCTGGGATATGTGCAAGAAATGGGTCCATGGTAACTTGAATACACACATTCTGGGCTGTCTGCACGTGAACAGCTCATCCATGCTGACGCTTATGCTGCAGACTGTGCAGTTGTGAAGTCTGCTTCATTAGGAGTGTTCCCTGAGAGGGACTTGTCTTAGGCTTTGGTGAATATGCTGTTTGTTTCAAGGAGCACACCCAGGAGCTTGGATCTTGGCAAACAGTGCTTACTCTCTCATCACATTCTTTCACATTTGGCTTTGATATCTGGATTACTAATCTACCCAGCATTCATTTAATGTTTGTGTCAAGTATGGCAGCAGCAGTACTTCTTGCTCCATCCTTACTGACTGATGCTGTCTTATTCTGTCACTGTTTTCATGTTAGTTTCATGCTTATGAGTCTGTTCTTAGACCATCTTATGCTCCACTGGGTTGTTTTCCCCTCACCAGTACCATGTTGTCTAAATTCCTTTGTATTGGGTTTTAGTATTTGCTAGAACCAAGTCCAGTCAGTCATTGTTTTTAATTTCTTTAGTGTCTCCTCCCCCCCCCCCCCCTCTCTCTCTCTCTCTCTCTCTCTCTCTCTCTGCCTCTCTTTTCTCTCTCTCTCTCCCTCTCCTCCTCTTCTCTTTCTAGTCTTTCCCCCACTTCTCCATGTTCTCCTTTGGCCCTTTTCTGTCCCCTTTCTGGTTTTGCTCTTTTCATATTTTACTTAATTTTTAAAAATTAAAATACGATTAGAACATTTCTCCCCTTCCTTTCCCTCCCACCTCCTGTGTGACCCCACAGCCTTTACCCCTGCTCCCACTTGAAATTATGGTCTCATTTTATTGTTATTGCTACACACACAGACACCTAAATGTATGACTTCTATTTTTAATACAAAGCCTCATGTAGCTCAGGCTAGCCAGGAAATTGCTCTTTAGAGCAGCCTTGAACTCCAGGTGTCTGGAGTTACAGGTGTGTACCACCATACCCAGCTGTCATGTTTCTCCACCAACCCCAAGTTTCCTGGATTGAACCCCAGGATACAGTCACTGAGCTGCGTCCTCACTTCAGAACCAAAGCTCGATTTGATGATTGCATTGAGTCTCTATGCTGAGTCAATTTCTGCATTTCAGACTGCAGTATCTTTTCAAATATAGTTTTCATAATTTTTCTCAGGCTTCATCAAAAGTGCATTTTTCCATTGTGTTTTTCCTGTGAAAATTGTGCTTTAAAACTTCTTTGTTGTTTCTGTGACTAAAGTTTACTCTTTTTTTTTACACTTGAAAAGCTTTTATTTTGGAGTAATTATAATCAGTGTCGCAGAAATAGTATTTTGAACCTATCACCCGCCCATCATGCATCTGCTTCTCTGCACACTTATGTACTTACAGCAAACGTAAGAAGTTGAAATGGGTATAGTAGTACTCGGTGGTAGATTTTACATAACATACTCTTGATTTTTTTTTTTATTTTTTATTTTTTTGGTTTATTTGTATGCCCTGGCTGTCCTGGAACTCTTTCTGTTGACCAGGCTGGCCTTAAAACTACAGAGACCCACCTGCCTCTGCTTCTTAAGTGCTGGGATTAAAGGTGTGCACCACTACCACCCAGTGAATTTTTAGTTTTAAATTTATATGTTTTTGCTTGCATGCATGTATGTTCATAACTTATGTGACTAGTGCCTGCAGAGACCAGAAAAGGACATCAGATCCCCTGGAATTGGAGTTAAAAAAAAATTATGAAGTGCTGTGTGCATTGCTAGGAATTGAACCTGAGTTCTCTGGAAGAACAGTCAATACTCTTAACTTTTGAGCTCTCTCTTCAGTTCTCTTACTCTTGAGTTTTTGCTTGACATAGTATGCAGTATCTGTAGTTCTGTGGCTGGACCCTGAAGAACAATGGTTTTCAACCTTCCTAGTTCTTGTTGTACTGACCCCCAACCATAAAGTTATTTTTATACTACTTCACAGCTAATCTTACTGCTGTTATGAGTCATACTGTTACTATCTCTGTTTTCTCATGGTCTTAGATGACCCTTGTGAAAGGGTGTTGAACCCTCCAAAGGGTTGCGGCTCACATGTTGATAACCACTGCTGTAGTTCCAAGTATGCACAATTGCAATAGGAGGGTGCTCCCTTCTGCTTCCTTACTCCTCCACCCACCTTTGTTTCCTAAAGCTTCTCCTCTGCTTCCCACTTCTAGGTTTTTATCATTTTGAGTTAAATAAGGAGATCATAACATGTGTAAAACCCTTCGAGCCTTACTCTTTTCTTTGTGCATAGTGAATGTTACACTTGGAATGCTTTCAATTTGGGAATATTTTCTTTTCTTTTTTTAAAAGATTTATTTATTTATTATATATAAGTACACTGTAGCTGTCTTCAGACACACCAGAAGAGGGCATCAGATCTCATTACAGATGGTTGTGAGTCAACATGTGGTTGCTGGGATTTGAACTCAGAACCTCTAGAAGTGCAGTCAGTGCTCTTAACCACTGAGCCATCTCTCCAGTCCCCGGGAATATTTTCTATTAATGTAAGTTTTCATTTTTCTTAGAAAACGTCCAATAGTGTGATTTCTGGCTTTGTGGGTTAAGTAGTTCATTTTAATAAGAGAGGGCCAGAATTATTTTTACTGCTTCTATTCTGCCAGTCATTTCTGACGACTAGCTTTTTCACACTCTTGCCTACATTAGAGTAATTTTATTCCAGGCATCCGTATGGTACATAATGACACCTTGAAGTTGAGTTTGTCTCTTACAGACAGTACTGCTGAATCTTCTCGAGCACTTACCTGTTGCTTGTGTATTCTCCAAACATCGGTTCATTCCCCTTGTCACTTTATGATTGTATTTTATAGATCAGAGTTCTGCAAGTCACCTATCAGGTGTTTTACAGGGATTTTCTGACTTGACTACTGTTTTAACATTGTAGAGGTTTCTCTGTATGGTTCAGAATTTTTATGTCAGCATGTACTTGGAGATTTTGTGTTTGATATACTTCAGTTAACTCCAATGCTAATATACATTATTGTTTGAAGCAATGGTTGATTGACTCCATAGCTGTATTAATATACATGCCAGTTTACTTATCTGTGGCTGATAGACACTTGTGTTTGTTGTGAATGCTTGAGTATATGCCTTACACGAGACGTGTGCTTGTTTCTCTTGAGCACATACAAAGAAGTGGACCCTGGAGCCCTATACACGCGTGCGCACACATGCACGCACGCACACTCATTAAATACGTAATATATATTACGTGATATTTAGATTATATGCTTTCTTTTGCTTGGTTTTCCAAGAAATATTTTTCTAATATTTTAGGTATAAAATCCTCTGTCTACATTTTAAAACCCCACATGAGCAAGTTTGACTATTTAGCACTGGCTGACCTAAAATTCACAAGAGATCTGCCTACCTCTGCTTCCTTTATATTATTCTTCACTTGATCACATATATATGTACAAAGCATTTAACGTGTGCTAAACAATGCTCTGAGAGCTTTACACATATCTCATACACACAGCTATCAGTTTGTTTGGCTAATTTGTCCGTATCTCACCTGTTCTTGAAAAATCCCATTCCTTAGATTTAAACTGTAGGTTTGCATATTGAAGACAAAATTTTATTGTCTCCTGGCTTATGTTGTTGTTACTTAGAAATCAAGTATTTGCCGGGCTGTGGTGGCGTACACCTTTAATCCCAGCACTTGGGAGGCAGAGGCAGGCAGATTTCTGAGTTCGAGGCCAGCCTGGTCTACAGAGTGAGTTCCAGGACAGTCAGGGCTACACAGAGAAACCCTGTCTCGAAAAAACCGGAAAAAAAAAAAAAAAGAAAAGAAAAGAAAAGAAATCAAGTATTTGTTTTCAAATGCTCTTCTTTCCAAGGGAGTGGATCGACTTTGAGATTTTGATTTTGTTTTAAAAATGTTTTTAATTGAATTATCCCTGTTATTTTGAATTTATTATCTTTGGTTTCTTGAATCTGTGGATTGCTGTATTATGATACTTTGTGCTTCTGTGTGGCCTGCTCACTCTTCTGTGGCTCATAAGATAGACCCCCCTCGTGTATTTGGTCCTGTGTTTCTCTGTTTGTTCCTTGGATGATTTCTTTTATCTTAATTTTAATATTTTTACTATATGTAAATGAACTTGTCTCTTGAACTTTTATTTATTTGCAGCCGTTTGCATGTTTGTTTTTTATAATTATTCTTTACAGATTTTTAGAGTTGTCTTTCATTGAAGTTTTTGATGGGTACAGATATTCTGTCCCTTTTGTCATGTGAGCACTGAAACTGAATACTGGTTCTGTCAGTGTTGGCAGATCACATCAGAGATAAGGATAGAGCGCTGTAGCATTTGATTTAATTCTCTCGGGTCTCAGGGTTTTCTTCCCTAGATTTTTTTTATCTGAATCATTTATGGCCCTTTTTTTTATTAAATAAGTATTTTTGTGTTAATTCTTTGAGAATTTCTTTTGATCTTATTTACCCCCCATTCCTCCTCCTACTTTGAACATTTGATTGATGGATTGATTGATTGATTGATTGTTGTGTATGTTTTGTTGGGGAGAGTTATTGCAAATAACTTATAGAAGTAAAAAATAAATTTGCTTCCCTCAGTCATTTTGGGCAATGTTTAGTAGAATACTTTTCAGTAGATGTCCAAATTACTGTAAATTATGAGGCAGTTACAAATTGTTAGGTAACATCCTATCTATTACATTTGTTATAGAACATGCTTGCTTTTAGTTTGTACTAATATTTTTCTTGCTTTAGGGGTACAGACATTTCCATCATGGCTCATTCAAAGACAAGGACCAACGATGGGAAAATTACTTACCCTCCTGGTGTCAAGGAAATCTCAGATAAAATCTCTAAAGAGGAGATGGTGAGGCGGTTAAAGGTGAGTGAACAGTGTATGCTTCAGACAGCTGGGCAGTGTGTGAGCCTTTCATGTGGGGCTCTTCATGTGGGGCCATGGAACTTGGTTTGTTAGAGGTTTGGTTTTGTTGTTGTTGAGTAGCAAATGGTAGAGAAAGAGTGTGAGTACAGGCCAGGTAAGAAGAGCGGGACCCTACTGCTCTTGGGAGAGCAATTAGCACATGTCCCATGATATTTTTATACTGTCTATTACCAAGTTATTTGCTCTTTCTTCCTATTTGCTGCCCACTACCCCTCCTCCACCAATTCTTCAGGTCTGGGAAAGGAAGTTTGAAGTATTTATAGCACTCCTAGGCTATAGGTTACCTTCTGGTAAGTTATTTTTAGGGTTAGAGAGCGTGACTGTTAGCATCTGTCTCTGCTTCTGGCACACTGTAACAAACCAAGATGGACAGTAAACCTTATGAGAGGCATTCTCCATGATAAGGGTCGCTTTAGATTGTGGGGTAAATGTTTCACCTTTTTCTTCAGGGCATTAATGGTCCCTGTGACTGTTAAAATGTTTAAAGTAGCATTAACTTGAGACGTACATGTGAGACTGGTTGAACAGTTGCTCAAGATTACCCTTCTAGTTGAGCAAGTTTTTCCGTCTGTGTGTGTGTGTTAACTAGATACTTGTTATAGTACTCATTTCTTTCAACTGATGCAAAACATTTTGCATATTAGAAATTATACTTACTAGCGGATCACATGTATTATTTCAGCATGTACATTTTGTAATGTTTACTGATCTGTTATTTATGTGATTGTCAGTGTTGGGAAAACTTGCCTTCATCACTAAAGTTCAAGAGCCTTACAGGACAGTAATATATAAAGTTGTGATGTCCTGTATGCATGTGAAAGAGATGCTAATACCTCCATAAACCTCGCTTGAGGTCTGGATATTGTTTACTTTTACATAAGCTTTTAGAGTTCAGTTTGACTAGGAACTTGTGTTTTATCTCATTCAGGAGAGCCAAGCTCAACATTTTATATATGTATGATGTATTTACTTTTCTATGTATTTACATTTTCTTGATCTGTTGAATTTTTTTTTTTTTTATTGGATGATTTATTTACATTTCCTATGTTGTCCCCTTACCCCATCCCCCACCACCCCCTCGGAACCCCCAATCCCCTCGCCCCTCCTCCTTCTTCTCTGTGGATGTAACCTCTATCTACACCCCCCCCACACTCCCACCTCCCCACCCTCAAAATTCCCACCCCCTGGGGCATCCAGCCTTCATGAGGTCAAGGTTCTCTTCTTCCACCTATGCCCAGCAGGGCCCTCCACTTTTACATATTCAGCTGAAGCCCTGGATCCCCCCCTAAGTGCTCCCAGGCTGGTGGTTTAGACCCTGGGAGCTGTGGTTGGTTGGTATTGTTGCTCTCCTCATGGTGCCACAAACCCTTTCAGCTCCTTCAGTCTTCACTCTAACTCCTCTATTGAGAACCCCATGATCAGTTCAATGGCTAGTTGTGAGCATCTGCCTCTGAATATGTCTGACTCTTGAAGGCCTCTGAGGAGATATCCATATCAGGCTCTTATCAGCATGCACTTCCTGTCTTCCACATCAGCATCTACCTTTGGTGATTGCAGATGGGATAGATACTCAGGTGGGGTGGTCTTGAGACGGCCCCTCCTTCAGTTTCTGTCCCTCACTTTGTCTCCATATTTGCTCCCTTGAGTATTTTGTTGCTCCTTCTAAGAAGGACCGAATCACCCTCACTTGGTCTTCCTTCTTTATGGGCTTCATGTGGCCTGTGAGTTGCATCTTGGGCATTTCAAGGTTCTAGGCTAATATCCAATAATCAGTGAGTGAATACCATGTGTCTTCTTTTGTGATTGGCTTACCTCACTCAGGATGATAATTTCTAGAAGCTGATACATTCATTTTCTTAGTTTATCCCAGAAATGATAGGTTATAGTATCTATCATGTTTATGGATAAGTGCTATGAAGATAGAGCATACACATACAAGCTTATTAACATTTAGTAACTTTTATGCATACTATTTTCTTAGCTATATTTAAAATTAGAGGCCTCATCTGATTTATAATTGAGGGCCCTCCATACCCTGACTTAAGGCAAGTCTTGCTGTATAGCTCAGGCTGCTCTGGAACTCTATATGTAGTCCACGCTGGCCTTGAATTTATAATCCTGCCTAAGCCTTCTGAATCCTGGAATTAGTGATAATTTTACTGAGATTTACAATACTATTTGAATACACAGTAGTGAAAAATTGCTGTTATCTGGGTTTGGAGCAGATTCGATTGTCTTTACATTCAATGTTGTGTAGTGTGCTTTTATTACTGTCAGGTGCTTGTATCCAGCAGCAAGCTGCCTAGTACACATTTTTAACATTTTCCTTATTTACTCCTAATACGAGTTTTAGCATACTCCTCCTCAGAAAAAGAGAAAATAGATTTAGTTTGCTATAATACTTTTTGCTATTTACAATACCCATATAAGTTTTATGAATTATGACAATTTGTTAATATATAGGTTATTATTTTTATATAATTTATGGGTTTTCCTATAACATTTTATTCAAAATATACTTCATTTCCCACTCTTGTATAAAGAGCTTAAACGGAAAAATAATTAGTTTTGTGGACCTATCTCTTTATTTGCCCTTGTGTCTTTTCATAAGCACAAAGATGTTGAGAGCCTATGTCTTGAGAGTACTGCAGTTGAAGTGTTAGGACAACAGATCTAGAGTGGGTCCTTTATCGCTTTGTGTGGTTCTATTGGATTTGGCACCAGGTATGGCAGAGCAGAAGAGTTGCTCTCTGACCAGCATTGTCCCCCATGGCTGCTCGTGTGTTCAGAATGAATAAAGCATTTCTTACTCAGAGCTCCAGGCCTCTAGTAAGTCAGAACCACAGGCTGTGCTGCTCAGTAGCCCTGCTCAGCGGCCGGTGTGTGCAGCACCACCTAGTGGATACTGTATGCTTACCTTTTGTCAGAGTTGAGATTGAAATGTCATGTTCTTCCAGGTTCAGCAGTTTTCTTGATTCTCATTTGAATAAAGTATAGTACGGATCATTTTGTTGAATTTTATTTGAAGTAAAGATAGGATAGCTGGAGATTATAATTTCTACTAACACTAAACCTAGAGAAATGTCATAGAATTTAAGCTTTATAATTTTGTTTTGCATCCCCTTTTTATAAAAAATTATGAGGACAGATCATCCTCATCCTGATTCTGCTTAACACATACCTGGATTATCTCAGTGAGCCAGTGAGATATCCATAACATATTTTCTTTTACTATGGCCTGGAATATGTTTAGTGTATTACCATGACACTTACTCATGTCATGGTAGCTGAAGGTTGCATTTTTCTTTAAGAATACATCTTTGACATCTTTTAAAAAATCGATTATTTTTATTTCTTAATTATGTCTCTTTGCTGGGTATGAGCACATTAAATGCAGTGTCCACAGAGGACAGAGGAGAGCGTTGGATCCTCAGGCTCTGGAGTTTCAGGTGATTGTGAGCTACCAGATATGGGTGCTGGCAACTGAACTTGGGACGTCTGGAAGAAAAGCACATGCTCTGAATGCTGAGCCATCTCTCAGTCCCAGCATTTTTCTTGAATCTGCTTATATAGTCTTTTGGGGGGGCTGAAATAGAAAAATCACATCTGGAGCGGTTTAATGGCTAAGATGATATATCATAGGTAATAGGTGTGGGACAGTTGGTCACATTACATCCACAATCAGGAGGCAGAGAGATGAATACAGCTCGACACCACTGTTCCTTTCATTCAATCAGGAACCCAAGCCACCCACATTCAGTAGTGGGTCTTACATCTTCAGGCAAATTTTCTCCTGTAGACACTTCTAGGATATGTTTCCATGAGATTCTAAATCCATTCAAGTTGATAGTGAAGATTAACGACAACAGATAGAAACTTAAATTTTCATACTAGAGTTTTCTTTAGGACTAGATCTATTAGAAAAAAAAAGGAAAGATGTGTTTACGTTCTATAGTATTTCTATAGTGAGACAAAAAGTTCCCACAGATACAGACTGAGTAATGACCACTGTATAGGGTGAATTCTAAACTAAGTCTGGTTGGAAGATATGTAGATAAATGATAAATATTTCCTTTACTTTAAACTAGTGATTCTCAATCTCTGGATTGAGATTCAATCTCCCCTTTTGGGGAGGGGGTGTCAAACAACCCTTTCAAAGGAGTCACTTAAGACCACTGGAAAACATGGATATTTGCATTACAGTTTATAACAGTAGCAAAATGACAGTTATGAAGTAGCAACAAAAATAATTTTTTCATTGGGGGTCACCATAACATGAGAAACTGTATTAAAGGATCTCAGTTAAAAAGGTTGAGAACTACTGTTTTAAACATTAGGCATTAAGGAGGTTTTCTTGAGGTGGAATTTTGCTTTGTAGCCCAAACTAGACTTGAAATCGTGATCCTACTGCCTTATCCTTTTGGTCTTGGGATTACAGGCATCTGCCGCTATGCCTGGTTAAAATGTTTTAGTTATATTTTAAAAATTGTTTACTCTCCATTTGTAGCGGGATCTCATTCTGTTTTTCTGATGAAGGTATATTTATTTCGAGGGCTGTTTTGTAAGTACTATAGCTTTTTATCTGACATGACTGTTTATAGGAAACATCTGACTATTTGATGGTCTTTGTCTGTGTGTAGATGGTTGTAAAAACTTTCATGGACATGGACCAGGACTCTGAAGAGGAAAAGGAACTTTATCTAAACCTAGCTTTACATCTTGCTTCTGACTTCTTCCTCAAGCATCCTGATAAAGATGTCCGTTTACTGGTAGCTTGCTGCCTTGCTGACATTTTCCGGATTTATGCTCCTGAGGCTCCTTACACATCTCCTGATAAACTAAAGGCAAGTATTCATAGGAAGCACTGCCACATTCGACTACGTTGAACGACACATTTAAGAATTCCTGGACCAATCTTTTATTAAATGTCTGTTTCCTGTGAAAGTTACTTTTGAAATACAATTTCTGACCCCCAGAGTGAGCAGATTAAGGGGGTCACACAATTTATTCTGGAGCCAAATATGAATGACCATGGCCCAAGATCACAGATTTAGATTACATTATCCAAAGTACTATGTTCTCTATATGGTAGCAGATTCATGAGTCTTTTATAGTAACAGAACAGTAGAAAGACATTAAAATCAAGACCTCTTTTATTTTTACATCTGTGAAAACCTCAGGTAGATGGATTACAGTGGTATGGAGAAGTCTCCATTACAGGCCTTTGTCTTGGTGGAAGCCCGTATTCTATTCATATTCCAGAAGGCACAAGGGTATTAGATCACCGAGGTCTGGGCATGAATGATTATGAAGGGGATTAAAGGGCACCCAGGACGGTTTGTCTGTAGCTTGCAACATGCAGCATGCCACAATTACAGAAGTTCTGTTAAGTTAGTCTCCTTGTAGAATTTCTAGAATCAGTCCTCAAGGCTCTTTTTCTGGCAGCATGGGCTCACACAGTGAATACTGTACTTTTCATGTTATGTCACCATGATGCTATATGTTTTTCATGATGATTTTCCTTCTGAAAATTATGAATGAAGACCATAGTGATTGTTTAAAACATAGCACTTACTAGGAACCTGAATAAGAGCTGTACAAGAGATACCAAATGACTCTGTGACAAGTCAGATAGTAAATGATTTAGAAACTAGTGCCCAAAAAATGACTTTCCTCGGGAAGATTTTTTTCATCCATAGTAAGAAAAACCAGCAGATGGTTTGCTTCAGTCAAGAAATGTTATGTTAGTTATTTGTAATGAAAGCAACAACTCCAAATCAGACATGGGCCTTACTCTGTAATTCTTTTCTTGATAATTGGAATGAGGAACTTACTGCCTTGACCTCCTTTCAACTCAGTAAAATTTGAGTCAAGTATCAGACTTAAGTAGGAGCTGGTGATCCGGTTCCTTTTCACCTGGGCCAGGGTTCCTCCTTATCACGTGTTCCGTTGACAGTCTCTCAACAAAAGTATAAAGGCTGCTGCTGTGCAGCTTACTTGCCTCTTTTGCGGACTTGTCAGTTTGTATGAGCAGTAACCTAGCTCAAGGCTTAGAAATAATGAAAAAGGCATTCTGAAAGAAGGATACAGTTCTCTTTTCCATGTCAGGACAGTTATGAGAAGAATATTCAATCAATAACATTAAATAAAGGTCTGTGTGGATTAGTTGAAACATTAAAAAAGTCTCAGTTTGTTTCTTTGTCTCTAGAATCAGTCTTTGAGTCTCATTTTATATACTCTATCCTTTTTGTGTTGGAGATAGAACTTAAGAATCACTGTTTTAAGGGTGCTTTCTGAGTATGAGATAGTTTTTCTTCTGATTAGCTTCACGTTCCATTTTTTTTTTCTTTTTCCTTTTGTTTCCAATAGTGCCACATCTGTTAGTATTATATGTTAGAAAATTGTCAATCTCTGTTCTTACCTTTTGGTCTCAGTTTTTTTTTCTTTTTCCTTTTTTTTTTATAATGTGTAAAATATTATTCTTTTTTTTTTTTGTCTTTTTTACTTTTTTCTCTAGGTCTCAGTTTTTTTACTGGCTTGAGCAAACTCTTCCTGGACATTTGGCTTATTAGGAGATTATGAGTGAATTGACAACCATTCCCAACTTCTGATAGAGCTAGTATGCCAAGTAATTTCTTTTAGATAATAGAGGAAGGGCTTATTCATGGAGATTATGTCTTGTCCATTACTACTGTCAAAGCAGCCATTTTTAAAGGATATACATTTTTATGGTTTATTTGTTTTTTATTTTTTGTGCATTAAGAGTTTGCCTGCATGTGTGGCTGTGTAAGATTGTTGAATCCCCTGGAATTGTCTGGAACTGGAATTACAGAGAGTTGTGAGCTGCCATGTGGGTACTGGGAATTGAACCTTGGTCCTCTGGAAGAGCACTGAGCCATCTCCAGCCCCAAGGATGTACTTTTTATAGTACTTGAAATAGTGCTGATTAAAATCAGTCATTTGCATATAATATTTTTGCCTTTTACATTATTTTACTTATTGAAGAACATATTGGCAATAAAATTTCTTTGGGGAATTAGTTTTTACAATTTTAAGTCTTTTTTACAGTTTTCTAAAACATTTGAAACCCAGGAAAATTTGACTACCGTGACTTTTTTGTCTGTCTTTAAAGATTTAGGTAGGTACAAAGGGAAATACTAAAAAACAAAACTAAACTAAACAAAAAACTAAAATGACAGCGAGAGATAGATTGAGAAATGATCCAGGGAAGCAAGTTTCTGCAGTGTACTGATGGCTGAGAGCTAGGCAGACTGAATTCCATTTCTCTTTCTCAGATGGCCAAGCTTCTAATGTGTTGTGCTATTACTTGGTAATTTTGTTTGGGGATTTTGTTTTATTTTGCTGCACAATTGTTGTATTGTTTCATGTGTTGTGCTTTTTCTTTCTTTTTTTCTTTTTTTTTTGTTTTTTTGAGACAGGGTTTCTCTGTGTAGCCCTGGCTGTCCTGGAACTCACTCTGTAGACCAAGCTGGCCTCAACTCAACAGAGATCTACCTTCCTCTGCCTCCCAAATACTAGTATTAAAGGTGTGTGCCTGCCTATCAGGATCTTTATGTAAAGTTGTTCTGTAAAAAACAATTCTGCCCTTCTTTTTGTTCTTTACAAATTAGTCTTATGTTTACAAAGGTGGCGAATAAGCTGTAGCTAGTCCTACTAGTACAATGTATATTTCCTTTTAGCATTCACAATCTAAGCAAAACTTTGTTGTTTTTTTTAAAGGATATATTTATGTTTATAACAAGGCAATTAAAGGGACTAGAAGATACAAAGAGCCCTCAATTCAATAGGTATTTTTATTTACTTGAGGTAAGCAATACACGTTATTACTTGAGATGATTATTACTTGAGATGATTTTTTGTTGTTGTTCTTGTATTTTTTTAGCAACTAATATATTTGCCTTTTCCCTACTTCTTTCTTTTAGAATATTGCATGGGTTAAATCATATAACATATGCTTTGAGTTAGAAGATAGCAATGAAATCTTTACTCAACTATACAGAACATTATTCTCAGTTATAAAGTAAGTTGATTTTTAAAAAAGTAACACTTTTTAATTGAAAAGCTTTTTTTGTTTACTATGACTCCATAAAAACTGTTGCTATAGATATTGCCTTAAGATTATAAATTAACTTACAATTATTCTCTATATAGTTCTAAATGAATAGAATTTATTATTATGTATTTATTTGTTAGAAGAGCAAATTAGACTAAGTTTTTGGATTATATTATTTCTGATTATATACTGTGTTAACTTTTTGTTGTCATTGAGACAGAGTCTCAACTGTGAGCTCTGACTGTGCTAGAACTCTTATGCAGACCAGGCTGCCCTCAGACTCACATACTTCAGCCTGCTTCTGCTTCCCAGTTGCTGGGATCAATGGCATACACCATCACATCTGGCTTATGTTGACTTTTTAATTTATCTGGTTGTTTTAACATTTTTGTTTATAAAATTTAATAGAATTTAAAAATATTTTGTCCAATTGAAGATGAAACTAAGATTGCATTTAACTACTTTGGTTGTAAGAATGGCTTAAGGGAAAGTAATTTAGTAGTATAGTCTAAAAATACATTTTTATTATTGTAAGACCTGAGAGAAAGAATCTTGACAGTAATACAGATTTATCTCACCACTTTTATAAAGTACAATGTTTACTACTGTCTGTCTCAGTTAAAATAAAATAACTGTTTTGGGTTACAGCAATGGCCACAATCAGAAAGTTCATATGCACATGGTGGACCTCATGAGCTCTATCATTTGTGAAGGTGATACAGTATCTCAGGAGCTCTTAGATACAGTTCTGGTAAATCTGGTACCTGCCCATAAGGTATGTGAAATGTGTCTAAACCCTATTTAGTTAAGAATTTATTTTTATGTTATAAATAAAATTGATACTGCTTTAATCTTAGTTTTGCAGACTTTACTGATTGAATAATATTAAGATACTTGTTTAAGATATAACAAAACTACGTTTCTTAGTTGACAGTAGAATGAAGAATAATGAATTTGTCTAATTCATGTGATAAAATATTTGTGGTTAGTGAGTTTTGTGTAGGGTGCATTTCTCACAGTCCTCAGGTCCAAAAGAAATCCAGGACCCAAGACTTATCTGTGGTGCCTATCAGCACACCAAAGTGGATGCTGGCCTTCAGGCTCTCTCAGCATTGCAGATACCTGGTACCCTGGTTCTTCTCACTTTGCCGCCTGCCCTAAACTTCTCATTCTCACCTTTCCATTTTGACCATGTGCTCTTTGTGCTCCTTTGTCTCCTCACTTCCTCCTCCTTCCTCTCTAGTCTGATCCATTCTGCTGATCATGTTCACATACCACTTTCTCCCTGCGCTGGACTCCTCCGGATGCCTCTGGCTGTGCCTCCCAAGTGTCTACAATTAAAACTCCAGCAGCCATATCTTGGAGAGGTCATATCCTCATTTTTCTGGTGCTGAGACCCTCACTTTATACAGGAGTGGGTGAATGGTTGCTTAGATACTGCTATATAACTTTATGTGTGGGTGCATGGAACCTTAGCCAAAACGTTGGGATAATATAGAGACAGAGGTTAGTGATCAGAGATTTTACCTGAAGTGTGTGCATTTACCCTGTATATGTATGTCCAAATCTGGTAAGCAGCTGGAATGACAGTTGAATGATTGAGAAGGGGTTGTGTTTCAAAAGAGGAACATAGAAATTACCAGTATAATCAAATATTTGTTTAAATTTTTTCTCTGTTTAAATTTAAGGCTCTGTACAGCATGATATTATTTTAGTCTTACATTATATTGGTACAAATAATCCTTCATTAGAAATAAGCTGAAAGTAAGCAAGATCAACAGTAAGTTAAGATTAGATCTCAAAATTCAGATGATCTGTTTATTAGATGAATAATCAGAGGTGTTGATATGGGCTCTGATTGCCTCTGTCTAGTCTCTTGCTGTTCAGGTATCTGATTTGCCTCTTCCTAATTCTGCCCAGCTCAGCAATATACCTGTCACTGATAACAACTATGAGAAGGGAGGCAGGAGATAGAGTAGAGGTCAGACCTCGTGGGAACATACCCTGTACCCCACACACATTGCACCCCTTCCTGAGGCACATAGTCCATCCTCCTGAGATGCAGAGTACCTCCTTTGTCTTAGGGCCCACATTGTCAGGATTCTGTTATATTATCATTTGAAACAACTAAATTCTGATAAGGGGCCCACTCTGAGGCAACCCACCAGAGAGATTGGCCTGTTGTCTCAAGCCTTTAGCTCTCTGTGGTTTGGTAGGAGGGCCAGTATCATGAACTCCACCACTGGGCATCTTCGGGAGGCTTCCAAAGTTAATGAAGCAGGCTCACCGTGGGTGCTGTAACTGGCCAGATTCTTAGCCCACTGGAACCTACATCCATGCCAATACCTAGGAGAAAAGGCTCTCCCAGACATAGATTAAATAGCCAGCTTGGTTTTTGTACTCAGCAGCTGATTAGCAGGGAAGTTCTAGGCTTTTGTCTTTTCAGACTGTTGTCATGAAAAAGTCCATTTGTAAGGAAAAATAAATAAGCACGTTTTGGCCTGTAGGGTGTAGTTCAGCGGTAGCTCGGCTTGGCTAGCATGTGTGAGAGTCTAAAGTTAATTCCTAGTACCACTTAAGTAACAGTATACACAAATGGTACTTCCTCAGGCCTGTTTGCCTTGGCCCACTGCACAGAGACACTTGTAAGAACGAGAACGCTGATATCTGACTAATCGGAGGTGAGCTGGAGTCTTCTCATTAGCTCCTTACAGTTTAAGCCTTGGCTTAGTCTGCTTAGCTTAGAGGGAACAGTTTTGGGTGGGAATTTCTCCTTTTCAGTCATTTGTAAAATTGTAGTTCTTTATACCTTAGTGAACACTTTTGAACTGAATAACATTCAAACAAAGTTGAAAACAAAGCTTAAGTGGATTAAAGATACAATATATTTTAAATTAATTAAGGGCATCAAAGTAAGAGTCAAGACCACTGAAGAGGTTCACTCTAAAAGCTTCGTGACCTGGAGTATGATCCCCGGGTCCACAGGAGAGAACCATTACTGGAAAAACCAGTACTGGAAATTGTCCTTTGACCATCACATGTTTGCAGTGGCATGTGTATGTTCACACACACCACACACTCTCCAGATAAATAGAGTAGAGTAAAAATAAGAGTTAAAAACTCACAATAACTGGACATACAAAATTACAATTAGGAGAAAAGCTCACTAGGAGTAAAATGTGGTCTTTAGGTTAGTTGAATGTGGGCTGAAGTGTATTAGAATTTTAAGGATTTAAAGAAAAGGAAGATTGGCAGTAATATAAACAACTTGAGTTTACCATATCACACAGGTTGTCACATTGGGCTGGAGATTAATCCAGTTTGTTGATGATAATAAGAGAAACAGCTAAACTACAGCCATGGAAAAGCTGATTTGTAAAAGGCTGAGAAAGACTTGACAGGTAACTACAAACTAAAAAAACAAGAAAGTTAAATTATATTAATATTATTGACAGGGCCATAGCTTAGTTGGTAAACTGGTTTTGAATCCAAGTTTGATGTTCCAAGCTCACTAAAAAAAAAGCCACATAAATATTGTGTACCTGTAGTCTTGGGGCTGGGGGTGTTGGTGACAGATGGATCAGCTAGCCTGGCCTACTGAAGAAAAAAACAGAGAAGGAAGAGAAGAAAAAAAGATGTTTGGTGTTTTTAAGGAGTGATACCCTTAGGTATCTCTTGCCTCATACATGTACATACATATGTGTATATTACTCCTTCCTGTCTAGAACATGGGTGTCCATACATGGACACAAAATATTATACATAGTAGGTTTTTGAGACAGGACCTCATATATTCCAGACTGGCTTCAGACTCACTTTGTAACTGAAGATAACCTTGAGTTTTTGATTATTCTGTCTTTACCTCTTGAGTGCTCCTTGGATTACATGTATGTGTTACCATACCCAGTTATATAGTGCTGATCTAACCTGGACATTCCCCACATGTTAGGCAAACACACACTACCAAGTGATCTTTATCTTGAGCCCTCATATAGTCTTTCTTGGGTAAAGACATGGTTTTTCCTATATAGTACCTAAAGCAGAAATTGATGACTTAGGAAGAGAATGAAACATTCACTATTTATTGGGTCAATTTAAGGTTCAGACCAAGGTTTATAGAAATACTGAGTGTTTGAAACATAATGCTATAAGCTTAATGTCAAGCATCATTAATTTGATAAATTGTAATGACCACCTTCTGGTGCAAGAAGTCATAAAACATCAGAATAAAATATACAAGCAAAATAAAATCAGTCAAGTAGAAATGAATGAAATAAGAAAACAGTGATATTATATGAAAACTTCAATTTGTAATTTGAAAAATATATATATGTAAAATCATAGCAAATTGAATCAAAAATGGTGATAATATCAGTATATAGTTAAAAATTAACAAGGAATATGGAAACCATTAAAGGACAGTCTCATGAATAATAATCTCTGAATACATTTGAAATTAGACTAGACTAATTCTCAGAAAACTATCACTTGCCCAATGCCTTAAGCAATAAAAAATGAGTTGATCTTGAAACTACTTAGAGTATGTAGGTGGTGGCGGCAGCAGCAGCAATAGCAACAACAACAACAACAAACTGTTTAAGCAATAAAAGAACCCAAGCTGATTGTGGGAAGACTTCCATTGACTCTTTATGGGACAGTCTAATGAATAATCACCAGAATTCTAGAGTATCGGAAAGGGAGAGATAGTGTCAACTCAGTACCATATGTGAAGAGAGAGGGCGTCACAGACACAGCACCATCTCCCTGAGGAGACTTGCAAGAGCTCAGTCACAAGAGCAGATACAGGATTTCCTCTGTAAAACTGACTTGCAACTTCAGTAACAAGAGTCACGGTAGTCACTTCCAGAGTGGTAAAGTAACACTGTTAGCAACCAAATTGGTTTTGTTTTTAGATACACAAAGATGAACTAATATCCACTAAGATTAGAAAGATAAAAAGCCTTGAAATTATTTTCAGATGATATTTTTCAGAGAAGTACAACAGTACCCAGAAAAATCAGAAAAGACTCTAAATGTGGTAGATTTAAGATTAATATAAATATGTTCTAACAAATTTTTATTTGTAACTTTTAACAGGTAAGATATACTTAGCAGATTAACATGTGACTTTACAGTTTGTACATTACCTTTGTGTCAATCCATTGTAGCTGGCTGACAAAGCGCAGAGGCAGCTTAATAAGTTGAGAGATTTGCTGGTTTTAGAATATGAGACAGTGTCAGGATGACTTGAGTTTCCTGCGTATGGATCTATAGTCTAATCAAATGGAGCAGATACTTTGACAAATGGAATCTAAAATTCACACAGAGGAGCAAATGGCCTCAGAATAGCCAGATAGTTTTGAAGAAGAATAAAGAAGTGGGGAGTTGCTGTTAAGATTTTCTTTCATGTCTTTCATTTATAATTAGGTAATATGGACAAAAGAGTACCTGAAAGTAATGGAAGGTTTATATATGAATGCATAGTTATTTTAGAAGCTTAGAATGTTACAAATCATTAGGAGCTAGGCCACTACCCATATGAAAAATAAATTCAGATTATTCATACTATATAGAAACATAACAAAGATCTAATTCTGAAGTGAACCTCACACATATCAAGTCACACAAAAGGGGAGTGTGCGTGTGCGTGTGCGTGTGCGTGTGTATGTGTGTAGGCTAGAAGAGAGCACAAATTTTCCCTGGTGCTGAAGTTAAGGGTTGTGAGCTGACTGATGTGGGTGTTAGGAATTTGAGTTTTCTGAAAGATCAGTAAGTGCTTTTATCCCTCCAAGTTTCAGTCAGCCCTCTTTAGATGCTTTGGTTTTTCTGGACCTATCATGTAACAGACTATATTTGTATTCATCTGAACAAACTTGAATTGAGGATGATATTTAGGATGACTAAATATTATTTCTTTTATCTAATAAGCATTCATTGACCATTTCTATGTGGTTAATCTGTTATGAAGGAGATCTGAAAAGAATGTAATTATTTTTACTGGGAAGAGATCTTATGATCTAATAGCCCAGCCAGATTTTTCTAAGAAAAGTTGTTACTGTACACCTCCAACCCAATGAAGACCAGTCAATGAAAACACAACTCAATAATTATGAATATATTCTGCAAGCCTAGATTGGGCAGATTCACCACTACACTACTCTATTCCCTTGTAACTTGAGGGTTTTCCAGACCCTGCATTTGTCCTTCTACCTCCTGCTTCCCAGTCGTCCTCCGTTGTCTTCTCTCTCCTCTCTCCTCTCCTGCTCCTCCTTCTCTGCTCTCTTCCCACCAACCTTTATTTCTCCACCTCCCAGGAAAGAGTATTAGCATCAAAATACAAGGCAGGGCTATCTACAACAAAAAGTCACTTTACTTATGGATACCTCTCTCATTCCATTTACTCAAGAGTAGTCTTTAAAATACAAATAATATTTTGCTTTTCATAGTTGAAGTACAGGCTGGGGTTGTAATTCTGTGGTAGAGCTCAGTAAGCCCACAATAGGAACATGGCTAGTTATGGAAATACATATAATACAGATGCCATTTGTGTTTTCCAGAACTTAAACAAGCAAGCATATGATTTGGCAAAGGCTTTGCTGAAGAGGACTGCTCAAGCTATTGAACCATATATTACCAATGTAAGTGTCTCGGTTGAGTTTAGAAGGATTAAGTTGAGAATTTAAAGACTGTTGGAAGCAAATCTCAGCAAGTGGCTCATACTGCTTAAGTTTCTGTTGCTGTTTCTCCAGTGAGAGTTCCATTTCTATTCTCCTCTCTTAAAGTTTCTTTTGTTTAATATTTTTGAGAAGGCTAACCCTTGTCTGTGCCTTCATTTGTTTCTTTCAGGTTCCTAGAGACAACAGCTCCCCCTTTTTTGACTAGACAGTTTCTAATGTTAGCAATAGAGTTAAAAGGTAATTAGATAAAACAAGTGGTACTTTGTACTGTTCAGAGAAGTTGCTTATATCTTTTTGGAGATTAATTTGATTTGTGCAGTAAGATGATATGAAGCAATATTAGAACCTAGAAATTGAAGGCAAGTATGACCGCAGTAGCAGTTTGGTGGACATTGTTTATATATTGTTATCCCCGAGAGAGAGTTCTATAAATAGACCTTTTCTGAGGAACAGAAAGATTGGCAGTAACATGAACCCTTTTAAATATCACCCTACTTATGAGTGACTGTCTTGTATTTATTTTAGAAGAAACAGTTTCTTAGCTGTGTCACTTATATTAAGCTTTATTTTCTCTCCACAGTTCTTTGAGCTGTGTCACTGCAGGTGGCACCATCCATATCATGCTGTATGTGAATGGTGACTGCCTCTTGGAGCACAGGTCTAGAGTTCAGTGTTAAATGATAGCCCTGGACTTGTTGAACAGTTCTTTCTACTTGCCTTCTGTTCTCACCTACCTCCAAGCAGCTAGAAGGATGTAAATCTGTCTGCTTGAGAAAAGTGAGACAGTTTTTTATTTATATGTATTTTACTAATCCAAAGTTTATTGAAAGAGAATTTTTTATATTACATAAAAGTTTAAGGTCAGGTTATAAAAGACATGCCATGAAAAGTAACGTGCAGTAGAAGACAGCCTTGGTAATCCTGCTTTTGGTTCTGATTTTAAAGAGTTCTAGCATGTGATGCTTCAGAAAAATAAAATTTATTTGATTGTCAACTTTCAAAATCAGAGGATTAATGCTATGACTTATCTTAATAGCCCAGGGCTGTATTCCAAAATTGTTCACAGTTTTTCCACTCATGGGTATTGCTTGACATTAACTGGTTGAATTGCAGTTGTCATTATTGACTTTATTGGTTTTACTAGCACTCCAGAGATGTAGACCCAGACTCAGGCTTTCTAATTACACCTCACCTTTGCTTGTTTCAAGTGCTTCTGAATGAAGATTTCCATTCCTGGTCTAGTACACTGCCTGGGTCTTTTATTTAAGCCAATACCTCCAAGTGAGATGTGTTTTGATGCCTTTTCCTAAGATTTAGGAAAATAAATATTTGACTAAGTAATTAAAGAAAAGTAAGTAAAATGATGTTTACTGTGATTGTATGATTTAAGTTTATGCTGGTCTTTGAATTTGGAGGTGTGTTTCAAAAGGCACTGAACTATAAGGAATGATAAGGAAAAAAGCCCCAAGGAATATTTTCAGCAGTGTCAGATAAATAAGTGTAAAAAATACTCCCCTGTTACATTAGTTTCCTGCTGTTCTTGGCTATAGAACTAGCTGATCTCTCCCACATGCCCATAGCTTTGTTGTCCTCTTTAGAATTTGGGGGTAGGCAAAGAACACTAGACTTAGGCATCATCCCTAGTCTATGTTCAGTTCCATACTTATTTCTAGTACCTTTTCCATTTATCCTTATCCTTAAAGGTCTTTCTATTTAGTGTGAGAGTTGTGTGTGTGTCTGTGTGTCTGTGTGCACCCACACAAATGTACACGTGTGTTGTATTCATGTGTATATGCCCACCCATATGATGTTGTGCATGGTGTGTGCCCATGTGGAAGCAGAGTGCCTTGATGTTGGGTGTCATCTTCAATAGCTCTCTACCTTTTAAAAGTTATTATTTTTAAGGCATGGTTTCTCATAGGACCTAGAGAGTGACAGTTGGGTGAGACTGCTGTCCAGTTAGCCATCGGTTCCTTCATTGCTCCCTCCCCGTCACTGTTTTTATAGGTGCATGCCACTGTACTTGTGGGTGTTGGGTATTCACTCCTACCTTCTCATGCTTGCCCAGCATACACTTTGCTCACTGAGCCATCTCTTCAGCCTTGCCGGCCATGGTTATGTTTTCCTTTGTTTTTATTCCTTGCTTTATTTGAGAGTTAGTATTGAAGTCATTGGGAATTGCTTTTGCCCCTCCCTTTAAGACAGTTCCTTATAAGCCTTATTTTCTACTTGAGTTTTGTGTACTTATGTATGAAATCACTTTGTAGTGAGTTGAAGGGTGTTGTCGTATAAGATAGTGCAGGAGTAGGATCAGTCTTCTTTGTACATGCCTGGTGAGGTGGGAGTTAGTACTTCCATTCCTCGTGTAGCATCACCAGGAGCAGGCACTGAGGTGAGGATCCTGCTCACCTCCCTTCACAGTGTGAGGTCTGTTCTTTATGTGCTGATTCCTCTGTATGTGTGTGCTTTAGTCTTGTTTGGTTTTATCTAGTAATGGGGTCTTTACTGTATTGATTATACTGACCACAAACCCGTAGGCTCAAGTTTTACTCCTGCCTCTTAAGTAGCTAAGAGAACAGGTATTTCCCATAATGCCCAGGAGACTATTTCTTTCTAAAAAAATAGAATTAGTATTGGAACTGGAGGGGTGGCTTAGCAGCTGAGAACACTAATGTTCTTCCAGAGGACCCAGGTTCAATTGAGCCACACGGTGGCTCACAACCATTTGTAACTCCAGTTCCATGGGATCCTTATACTCTCTTTTGGTCTCCAAGAATCAAACACATATGGTCCACAGATAAATATGTAAGCAAAACACTCATAAATAAAATTATAATAATGGTAACTTTTAAAACTAGAATTAGTTTGTATTGTAACAGTACACAATGAAAAGCAAAACAGAGACTCAAAAGAAATCACACATAGTCATAGTAACAATTCAGAAATTTCTTTTTTTTTTTTTTTTTTGGTTTTTCGAGACAGGGTTTCTCTGTATAGCCCGGGCTGTCCTGGAACTCACTCTGTAGACCAGGCTGGCCTCGAACTCAGAAATCCGCCTGCCTCTGCCTCCCGAGTGCTGGGATTAAAGGCGTGCGCCACCACCGCCCGGCCAAGAAATTTCTTAAATTTATTACTTTTTAGTAATATTTTTATCAGGATTTTTTAGTAGCACAAAATTACTGTGTTGAACTAAAAAGATCCTTGTTGAAAAAATTAAACATTTTTATGTTGCTTAATCTTAGTCTTCGTTTTGCATATATAAATTGACGTCAGTCCTTGGGATGGTGAAAGAAAAGAAATGTTACTTACAAGAAATAATTTTTGTGATTATGTTTAACTAGGTTTTAATTTAGGCTTACAAATAATTTTTACTGCTCACAACTTTCATGCTGATTTTTAACTTACCTATTTTCAAATATTTTTTGGTAATATTTGGAAGGGCATACTTGCCGGGCGGTGGTGGTGCACGCCTTTAATCCCAGCACTTGGGAGGCAGAGGCAGGCAGATTTCTGAGTTTGAGGCCAGCTTGGTCTACAGAGTGAGTTCCAGGACAGCCCGGGCTATACAGAGAAACCCTGTCTCAAAAAACCAAAAAAAAAAAGGAAAGGAATATTTTAGTCAAACTTGCATGTTGCTCCTATTAAATTCTAAAATATTATGGAAGTCTTAGTTGTTTTATATTTATATAAGAATGACATTTATTTATTTATTTATTTATTTATTTATTTATTTTTCCCGAGACAGGGTTTCTCTGTGTAGCCCTGACTATCCTGGAACTCACTCTGTAGACCAGGCTGGCCTCGAACTCAGAAATCCACCTGCCTCTGCCTCACAAGTGCTGGGATTAAAGGCGTGTGCTGCCACTGCCCGGCTATTTTTAAAGATTATATATTAAAGGTCCACTCTGTGCTAGCAATGTGTCATCTCTCATTCTTCCAGAGATGGATGTTCGGTGAACTTCTGATCTTTTCTTTTACAGTTTCTCTTACTTTTAAAAAAATACATCTTTAGCTATTGTGATAAATAATGGGTTCCATTATAACATTTCTGTACATTCCTGTGCCTTCTTCATAGTAGTACCCCTCACTAGACTTCCTCATCTATCCTTCACACCCTTTGTCTCCTCCTCCTAGAAATTCCCTCCAAGTAAGTAGTCTTTCTACTCTCATGGTGTGTGAGTGTAGTTCAGCCTAGATTCTCTCATTACCCTCTTGTTTCCTCATTTCCCCTCTCATATTCTCTCTCTCTCTCTCTCTCTCTCTCTCTCTCTCTCTCTCTCTCTCTCTCTCTCTCTCTCCCTCTCCCTCTCCCTCTCCCTCTCCCTCTCCCTCTCTCTCTCTCTCTCACACACACACAGTGGGAAGCATGGCAGCGTGCAGGCAGACATGATGCTAGAGGAGTACAGAGTTCTATGTCTTGATTTGAGGCCAGCCCGGAGAAGGCTCTTCTTTTGTAGTCAGCCAGAAGTAGGGTCTCTCTTCCACACTGGATGAAGCTTGAGCGTAAGACCTCAAAGTCCACCCCCACAGTGACTACCTCCAACAAGGCCGCACCTCCTAATAGTGCCTCTTCCTATGGGCCAAGCATGCTCTTAATCACAGGGCCATCTCTCCAGTCTCCTTACTATTTTTTTATAAAAAGGAAAAAATTTGTAAGTACAAAATTTAAAGACACATTTCAACCTGAACTAGAATTTAACACCTTGATATCTTGACATTTCTTTTCTACAAAATTTATGATTAGAAAAAAAATGTAGTTGTTTTAGAAAACCAATAAATAAAGGAGGGAAATTTGTTCTTTTCTTTTTTAAAAAAAATGTTTTTTGCTTCTCTGGATTGTCTAGTCACTATTATATTTCTTTGAAGAGACATTAGCCAAGGCAACCTATATTAAAAAAAAAAACCAAACATTTAACTGGGGGCTTGCTTACAGTCTCAGTGGTTTAGTTCATTCTTACCATGATGGGAACTTGGTCGCAGGCATGATGCTGGAGAAGTAGCTGAGAGCAACAAGTTGATCCCCAGGCAGCAAGCAGACGGGTACACTGGGCTGGGCTTTAGCTTTTGAAACCTCAGAGCCTACCCCTAGTGACTCACTTCTTCCAGCAAGGCCACATTTCCTGATCTCTCTAATTCTTTCAAAAAGGTTTCCTTCCTTGGTAGCTTAGTATTTATATATATGAGCCTATGGGACCATTCTTACTAAGGCCAGCACAGGGAATGTCATACAGGGATGTGATCATCTTCTCCTTTCCTCCTCAATGGTCCTCAGTTTTTGGCTAGGTAGTTTACATTGTTCATAGTCTGTATTTATAAAGCCAAAGGAGGAGTGAGGTCTCAGTCTTTGTACCTTTAGAATACAGTAGAAGGAAATTACATGTGTTAACCTTCAGAGGCAGTCAGAGCACCTGCTGTGATATGAATCCTTTAATCTCCATCTGAGGAGACATAGGAAGCTGCTAAGAATGTGTGGTATATATTTTGGGTTAATTTTAGGCATTTTAAGAAAATTTTTAAACTTTATTTTAAAGTTTTTGAGACAGAGCTTCACTGTGTGTATTTCTTGGTGGACAGGGCTGACCTTGAACTCATGGAGATCTGCCTTCCTCTGCTACCGTCTCTGAAGTATTAGGGTTAAAGACATGCACCACTATACCTGGATTAATTTTTGAAAGATTTTAAATAGAACTTGGTCATTTTCTCTGGTACCTTTATTTATTTGGTTTGTAACATGATGAATGGTCTGGCTTGGAAATTAAAAGCCACTGCCAACTCTTGGTTGGATTTTAATTAATGTTGCAAACTTTGTAAATGTACACATCGTTTATCATAGTACAAAGGAAGATAAAAAGGATTAGAAAGACATTTTATATTAAAAATATAAAGCTATGCAATTGAAAAGTAGGGTTAATCAATACCCCAAAGGTATAAGAAAACTTTATTTTAAATGCTGTAGTTTCCTTTATGCTAATGTAAATAAGATGTGATCTCTTGTTATTAATAAATTTATTTATTGAGGTGATTCAATCATTATCTTAGGGTTCATAACATATGTATGTGTGCATATGTGCATGCATTCATCTTTATGAGGAAGTTTACAGGAATTGGCTCATGCTGTTACAGAGGCTGACAGAGTCCCATGATAGACTTCAAGCTGGAGAATCAGGGAAGCTGATTAACTCTCAGTCAAAACCCAAAGGCCCAAGATTGTAAATGGTGGTTGCTTATGCAAATCTTTGTACTCAGAGCCTGGAGAACCTGGAGTTCTGATGTCCAATGTCAGGAGACGAAGGGTACCCTATTTCCAGAAAGGAAGGAGGAGCTCTCCTCTTGTTTGCCTTGCATGGTGCTTTCCCCCATAGACACTAATATCCCCACTACCAGTGTGGATAACCCCAGAAGTAATATTTTAGAATTTGAGTCGACACAAGAATATCAGTCAGAATATGGTTGTGTATTTAGTACCATTTGGATGGTAAGGGTATTTGCTGATGTTGATCATTAGTGAATCAATAGAGATTATCTGTGTCATTGTCTGCAAAGTGAATTCCATGTTTTAGGTGATGGGTTTCCCAAATGGAATGTGTTTCTGTGTTGCTTGTTTGACTTCATTTATAATAAGAAAATGTTTAATTAAATAATAATCAAAAGTTGAGACAGTTTATCTGTGGCATTTCTTTTAATGACAGATTATCTTCTTAACAGTTTTTTAACCAGGTTCTGATGCTTGGGAAAACATCTATCAGTGATTTGTCTGAGCATGTCTTTGATTTGATCTTGGAACTCTACAACATTGACAGCCATTTGCTGCTTTCTGTTCTGCCCCAGCTTGAGTTTAAATTAAAGGTAACTATTGTAAAAATATTATGACTGTGTCAGCAAATTCAACAAAAAGCATTGCTTGTTGATTTTTAATTCTTAAAATTGGTTTACTGAATCCAACATGAGAAAGAATGTTGTTGTTGTTGCCTGTCTCTGGATCTCTATTGCTTGGTGTGATATCTACCAAGGTAAAGGTAGACATCTCGTTAGGAAATTCCACTTCAAAAATGATCAGCAGAAATGTGCTTGCTGCACACTCAGTGCTTCATCACATTGTTGAACTTCCTTTAGGAATCTGATGTTTTTACATAAACTCACTCCTCCTGGGGACCAGCTTTTATTTATTTCTTCAAGAAACTAAAATGTGAATACAGAATTCTCTACTTACTGTAGGTCTCACTTCTTTCAGTGTCTGAACTTAAAAAGCCATATCTTTTCAAAAATCTTTAGTAGGTTTTTTAATATACCCTGAGTAGAAATTAACCTGAGTTGTAGGAGGACCTTTTAATATTTGCTAGGAACCTCAAGACATTTTCACATAACAAGTACTACATAATTTGAGATGTTTCAAGTATTTATTACAACATTCCATCTTGTGAAAAGTTTTTGATACACTTTACCATTCTGGATTCAGAAGGGGTCCAGGAAATCCTAGGAATAGATCATGTTCTGAGTGTTTACTTTGAAGTTTAAAGAAAATGTGATTTTTTGTTTTTGTTTTTTAGAGCAATGATAATGAAGAACGCCTCCAGGTTGTTAAACTACTGGCAAAAATGTTTGGGGCAAAGGATTCAGAATTGGCTTCTCAAAACAAACCACTCTGGCAGTGCTACTTGGGCAGGTACATTTCATTTTGGTTTTTCTGTTTGTAAGAAATGCATGTTTATATCTGTTTCTAGTTTTTAAAATGTGGTTCTATTTTTTTTAAATGTGTTACACATTTAAGCTATGTTATTAAAAATCATAAGAATGAAGGGTGAAGGGTTTTCAGGCTGGGGATATAACTCAGTTGGTAGAGTGCTTACCTAGTATGCCCAGGGTCCCAGCGCCACATAAACCAAGTGTAGTGAGGCAGGAGGATCAGAAGTTTAAGGTTTTGGCAACAGTCTGGATTACATGAAACCCTGATTTAAAAATAGATAAATTTAAAGGATTTTCTGTTTTGTACTTTTAAATGTTGATAATGAATAGCTATATTTAAATTTTTTGTTTATCTTTTCATTTCATTTTGTCTTTGGTGAATTTTGAAAAGTGGTGCATTTTAAAGGCTATCTCATAGTTCTTTGCACATCTATAAGATAATAATAAAAGCAAAAATTATAACTGAAAGTGTAGCATGAAGTGATACCGTTTCTCCCCCTAAAGCTCTTAGCTAATTAGATTATTTGGAGGTATGGACTGGGGAAGGTGCTAATGAAGTGAACAACAGATGCATGGCTGGGGGTGGTGCTCAGCTTTAGTTCTAGCACCCCTGAGCAGAGGCAGGCAAGTCTCTTCTTACACGAGCCTGGTGGACCATGCCATAGCTGTCCCCTCCCTTCCCTCCTCTCCAGAGGCTTTGGTGATTCTCCTGCCTGGGTTATAAGCATGTGTATTCAGATACAGCCTTTGTGTTTCTTAGAGGAGGATGGTCTTGGTTCTTTGTGTGCTTATAGTGGCCCGTGAAGCTCCTGAAATGCTTATATTTTTTGCTTGTCCGTGGGAAAGGTTCATCTTTTACTAAAGAGCTCTTTGACCTTATCCTACTAAAGCACTGTAGATATCCCAGCTGAAACTACTTTGACCCTGATCAGGGAGGATTTTATTCCTTCAAATTATGCTTAGAACAAAAAGCAGTCAAGTTGTTAACAAAGAAATAAGATTTAAGACTTCGATTCCATTTTGTGTTTCAATATTTGCATTGCTATTATTGCCGTCCCACCCCCCACCCCCCCACCCCCCACCCCCACCCCCGCTCTTGATGAAAATTGTGTAAATTTTCTTTCTTTTCTTTTTTTTCTTTTGGAGAACAGGGTCTCACTATGTAGACCAGCCTGGTCTCAAACTCAGAGATCAGTTTGCCTTTGCCTGGGGAGTGCTGAGTTTAGAGATGAATAATACCATGCCCAGATAATCTAATTTTTCTAATTTTGCGGGGGTATATGCCTTTTTACGTATTTGTTGATTTTTAAATTTCCAATCAGAATTCATAGCTTTGATTTTAGTCAGTGCAAACATTTTGTTTTTGCTTTCTAGATTTTTTTTGGGGGGCAATAAGATTAAATATTTAAGCAGTTTAAGGTAATGTAACTCAGTTCAAGTTCATTTTACTTAAAGAATTGTATGTGGCTGAATGAAAGGGATGTATCTTAAGATTTGTTGTTCAGATGTCACAGAGTGCATCTTGAGGATGGCATTGAATTACTAGCAGGTAGAATCAGAAATGGATGATGTGTGTGTGTGTGTGTGTGTGTGTGTGTGTGTGTGTACACTGAAATAGTTGTGTAAGTACTTGCTATACTTTGAAATTAGGAATTAGATTAGCCAAGCAATCCAATTAAAATGCTTGCTCAGAAAATCCTATTGTAAGCATATATCACCTTTCTATTCCACTACAGCTCCTACTTTTAACTTAGTAACATAAAACCTCTCACAGTATTAAAAATCGCTTAATTTAGGCTGGGAATGGAGGTCCATGGTAGAACTCTAACCTAGCATGTATAAGGCCCAGGTTTTGATTCTCACCACCACAATAGGAAAAACAAGAGTCCTCTAAGTCCGTTGTGGTGATGCACGTCTTTAATCCCTGTGTTAGGGAGCCTGCCAGATCTCTTTGATACCAGTCTGGTCTACATAGTGAGTTCCAGATTAGCCAAGGCTACAGAGTGAGAGACCCTGTCTCAAGTAATCAAAACCACAAGAGCAAAATCACTCACCAAACTTGGGGAGCTAAAAATATTCTAACAGATGCATTTTTTTATAATGATCATAAGTTATATGCTTATTTGAGAAATGATGAATATTGCAATCTTAGAGACCTGGATTCAAAACAGTCCTTACAGGGGCTTTAAGAGAGTGTTGTACTTCATGGAGCAAATATTTTTTCATGATAAGAGCATCTTAAGTAATGTGCTACTGCTAATTTTGAAGACATGTGTTTCTTTAAAAGCATGCTGTTTTGAGGGGTGCTGTGGTTACTGAGGATCGAGCCAGGCTCCTGTGCGTGCATGGCAGTTGTGTTGCTGCTGAGCGTCATCTTTGGGCTTGCCTGGACTCCATGGACTGGATGTAGGCCATCAGATTTTCAGGGCTTTTTACCTGCTGAGCTGTCTAGCCAGCCTAGCTGTTGTTTCTTTGGGTGTTAAGTGATAAAAATACTTGAGTCTTTTGATTTTACAGAAGACCCAGACTGGGTCTTAATGACTGGAAACCCTTTACATTAACTACTGACACTTAAGCAAAATCTAAAAGTCACTCATGTGCATTGTTTGAGCTGCTGTGTATAGAGTTTGAACATTAATAATTAAGGGACAATTAGATGTCATGTGCATGCTAATGAAGTGCTATCAGATAATCTTGCTAAGAAGTTTGAATCCCAATGCCCAAAGCAGTCATGTGTCAAACTCTGACTCCCAATTTCTCAAGTGTAGGAGTAAAAGGTACCTGCTAATTGACATCAAAATAAAAAAAATGAGAAATACCTAAGTTGCAGGAAAGCACTATGTGAGTGTATAGTCATATATAGGCTTAGTTTTTATGTAGATAAATAAATAGAGGATAGAGTATAAAGATGGCCTTGTTATTAGTTGGAAATGAGATCATTATGATGGTTAAGTGGATAAGAACAATTTTTGGATACAATTTAGAATCATAGGATATAAACTAATATAGTAAAAGGTTTGCCATATGTTAGTTTATGTTCTAGAATTAACAAAAAACATTTCAAGGAAATTTCTTTTCAGAGATGTTATGAAACTTAAATGTTTCTCTGAAATATAAACGTGTGTGTGTGTGTGTGTATTGTATGTATATATATATTTGTAAAATATATAACTCATGCAGACATGCTTACATACACTGAACAAGCATATTTGAAATACAGTATTTATGGAAAAACATTTGTGTTGCGTGCAGCTTTTGCTACCGTGCCTAAGCTGCAGGAGTGGGCCACACCACCTAGCTTCCCTTGAATCCATGGATAAAAGACACACACACAGGTTGCTCATTTTCAACTTCCCTTCTGACACAATTGCTGTGTGCTACTCTCTCCCACCTGGAAAAGCGTGCCCTTAACAATGTGCTTATCAGCTTTCCACTTGCCCTAAACTTTAGTTGCTTGGTTATATCTAGTCCCTGCTAAACATTCCCAACTTCTCACTGCCAAGGCCGATGCTCCTCCTGAGATCTCACATGGCTGCTTGGTTTCTCTCTCCCTCTCCCTCTCCCTCTCCCTCTCCCTCTCCCTCGCGGGCGGGGGGGGGGGGGGGGGGGGGGGGGGGGGGGGGGGGG